TTTTTGCAAGAATTAATATTCAATGATAAAATATTCAAAGATAAATAAAAAGCCATGAAGTACACTTTATATTTTTTTTTTCATTTAAATGTTAAAAAATAGCAACAACATAATCAATAAATCAACATAAATCATGCATTTATTAATACTAAAAAAATTTACTTGTGGCCGATTTCACGGTAGAGGAATCACAATTTTCCAGAAATTCAATCTGTGTATTGGTAAACCCCACAAACAGTGGGTTAGTATGAACATCAAATTATTCTTTTTTTTTTTTAAAGAAATCATAATTATATGGTTTAGATGGGGTTTGCAGTGTGTTTAGAGGTTTGTGGTGTATTTGCAAGTATTTTTTCATAAAAAAAAAAATTTTAACCAAAAAATAACTATGAATGTATTTAATTTTCTTATTGATATACCAAGTCAGTCAATCACAATTGAATTGTTCGATTTTCTACAGTGTGTTTTCGGAGGTTTGTGGGATTTAGCAATACCACTTAATCCTACCAAAATCACCCTACCCTCACAATCACACGCCATTTTAATTCTTAGCATAATTGCAATACATAACTATATATAATTCTAAGCCAGTAGTAGGCACTTGGATTTAGTTAGTGATGAGTAAAAACCAAGTATGCAACTAAATTAGTTGCTTAAATAAATGTATTCCTAATTATTCAGTTTACTAAAGCAATATTTCTTTGAATAAACTTTAAGCAGACAATTTATTGCTAAGTTTGCGAGAAAGTAAGCCTCTCCCTTTTCCCATACATGAACTTGTGATTCAAACCCACAATTGATCCACATGCTTTAACTACTGTTTATTTGCATTGTTTATAACATGTAAAGTTAATTCATTTGATATTGTATACTGTATGTCATTCCTCTACTTGGTTAGTGAAATAACGTTTTCAAAACTTTTATTTCTACTATCAAAAAATGTTATTCAATGGCCATTGTTTTTTGATTATCTCTCAGAATATTATTTGCATCTGCTGTAATTGTTAAAACAAATGCTTTTAAAGAAATTTAAAAAAAATCACATCACATATTGATCTCAGTTCAAAGGAAAAAATAAAACTTATTTCTAAATTTACAATTTTCACCTATAAACCTCTTAATTTCACAAAAGAGTGGGTTCTTTTCCAAACAAATACATCCTGCCTAATATTGTGTGTTTAGATTAGATCTTTTGCTTTAACTTTGGAAATTGAGATCACTTTAGATACTATTTCTGTATAAACTATTTTTTTTTTCATATTACTGTAAACCTAATGGGTTTTGATAAATTTACTCTGCACTACGGAATTTCCAATAAAAAAGAGAAAATTAATTAAAAAGACCATAGATTAAAAATAAGTAAGGCGTAACATATTTTTAATCTATGTTAAAGCATAACTATTTTTACATAATGAAATTTAGTAAATCAAATTATTATTTGTGGCTTTTATTTATTAAATCAATTAAGAACATAATCTCAAAACAAAATTGAATGACAAGAAAGATCGACGTTTTGGGTCAATCATGGAACCATTCTCAAGATCAAATAAATTGAAAAAACTAAAAACAAAAATACCAAGCAGTGACAGGAAGTAATTAATTAATTTACATATCAATAGGGCCTACTGTGTGTGGAGCCACAGTGGAGCTAAGCAATAATTAGCCCTTCTTAGCAGATTAACTAGATAAACAGTTTGGCTTTAACTGAATCAGTTTGTTTGTTAAGTGTAGGTTTCAGTTCTTTGATCCAAAGCATTTCTTTAATTAACCAATCAAACTTGGATTTGCACTTAGATAAAACATTAACAGTAGATAAATAATTAACAGTTTCAGTAGCACTAATATAATGATCTTTTAAATGTTGTCCTATGTTACCTTTACTGTGCATAATCATTTCTTATTTAAAATAGAATTATTTAATCAATCAGTAACTTGTGTTTTTTTTAAATGAAATTAATGATTTTCTTTAAAATGATGCTACCCAAGGCGACACTTATTTTATACCTTGTTTGACGAACTCGCTGACTATTGTACATTTTACTGTACTGTATATGTATTCCTACTAAAAAGTTTCTAATACTAATTTAACAGCATCTTTTTTAACGCATGCAATGTTACTATTTTTTAAAAG